TTCCTTTCTTTCTTTCTTTCTTTCTTTCTTTCTTTCTTTCTTTCTTTCTTTCTTTCTTTCTTTCTTTCTTTCTTTCTTTCTTTCCTTCCTTCCTTTCTTCCTTTCTTCTTTCTTTCTTTTCTTTCTTTCTTTTCTTTCTTTCTTTCTCTCTTTCTTTCTTTCTTTCTTTCTTTCTTTCTTTCTTTCTTTCTTTCTTTCATTTTTTCTTTTTTGCTGCTTTGAGAACTGTAAGATATTCAACCCTGGATCCCAGACAAAAGGCAGTAATCTCTAAACAAATGGTGATTTAAAGCTGCAGACCTTGAGCAGAGCCTTTGCATAATGCTTCAGGTGAAGATTTTCATATGTGCTGGGGTGAGCTAACCTCTCAGTGCTGTGTCTGGCTTTGTGCTGTGATTCCCCCACTACAGCCTCGTCATGTCTGGAAAGTGCAATAAACCAGGCTGAAATCTTTTTAGAGAGAAATTTAACAAAGTAACTTTCATTGTTTTTACCATGACTCAGGATGTCATAAGTTAATGAAACTTCCTGAATGTGCAAGGTTCCAGCAATATACTTTAACACACTCATATTAACAGTTTCTCTACTGGGAGGGCCTAAGTGTGAAGACTTCTGAACCTATTACTGTCATTGCATTCTACATGGAATGCCTAAGATCCAGTAGGCAGAGTGAGAAGAGTTTGCTGTCTTCTTCATTGATGAAGCATTCATATATCTTTCTTTTTTGGAATTAGAAAGATACCATCGAGAAAAAAATACTTGATATCTTGAAATCAGGCAAAGTTTTTACATTTCTTAGAATTGCAAACCCTTTACTCTAAAAATACTTCAGAGAAAACTTTGTTTGAAGGTTACCAATGCTTTATTCAGAAAGTATAGGTTTTGAAAATAGTACCTTATTTTAACAGAGACTAAAACCCATAATGAAGATACATGTAGTAGTGTTCTATTACTTAAGTCAGAAGCATAAGAATGCATTTATACTTTATCTGTCAAAATGAACTAACAAAATCTATGCTTTTTATAAACTGAAAAATCAGTGTTCTTTTGGACTGAATGATCATACACACCCAAGTTTCTATGTTGAGTCTTTATCTCCAGTGTGATTTGTTTGGAGTTATTGGCATGTGTGGAACTGGAACGTGGGGCCCTAGTCTGAATGGATTAGTATACTCAGAGAATAACAAGCAAACTCTCCAGGGAGTATCCTCTTCCCACTGTGTAGACATTCTGAGAAAAACTGACTGCAGTAACCACTCACTGGAACAAAAGTCAACTTCTGTTATTTCACCCATGCAAACTTTGTGTTTTGTTATGGCAGCCCATGGAGGCTTGAAGAAAATATTTGAAAGATACAATATTAAATCTATATCCATAGCAAACATATGGATAGATAAATGGTAGAAGGTTAAATGATGAATTAGTACATTAATGGGTAGAATAACTCAATAACTCATTTTGGAAAATGACAACCAGAGAAGGAGCCTGTCTTATGAATAAAGAGATCACTACAAGGCATTGTGCTCCTGTCCAGCCAAAGAAAAAACTTTCGTGTGCATAGCACTCAAGGTGAGCAAATCAATCTTTATACCAATAGTGTGCCTGCCAGAGTCTGAAGCAAAACAAAGCCGATGTTTTGACTCAAATAAAAACAAAACAAAGTGAAAAAATTCCCCAGGCAAAAATCATCTCATAGCATGATCATATATTGTATATTACCCCATAACGTACTTGCTGACAAGAATTTGCATACAAAACTGAAAGCTGTTTTGTCTCCTGCAAAGAGAATGATCAATTTCCTCAGAGGACAGTTTCTAAATCATCACTGTCTTTTTTGTGATTCCTTTTGAAGGAATTGTTACCAAACATATGCCCTTTGTTTCTAGACTCAAGTACGGCGGCTCTCACTTGCCAGATGCATGCTCCATTTCTGGAACATGGAAAGATTTGCCATTCTCTTTACATCGCAAATAATAATTGAATAATGGCTAAAAAATGAGTGCCTTTCCTTCCTTGAAAGTGCCTTTCAGAGTAGTCACAGTCTCAAAATTCATTCCTGAAAGAAACCATTTTTCTGAAAGCATGTGATGTCCACACGAAATTGGTCTGGCTTTAGGGGGAACTACTTGTTTAGAAAGGGAGTTTTAGTAACTTTCTTTGTAGCAGAAATGACCCTCTGAAGTGTGAAGGTTTGCACATGTATTGTACCTTCCTGCTAGTAAAATACGTACAAAGATCTTTAGGTTGGCTCTGTTAGCTCCAGAACTTGTGAACCTGAATGGTGTGAACTGTATGCCTTCCCAATACTATTATGAAAACAGGACAGGTTATTGAGATATTTTAAATGGCTTCTCCATCACAAAATGCTGATGGCACACCATGTAATCCTGCAGTATAACTGAATTTTAAACTCAACTCTATGTAAAGCACTCAGAGGCTCATAGTGAATGTTGTATACATCTTTCATAAAAAAAAATCTTTCAAAGTAGGGTTACTGCACAGAATGAGAAAAACTCGATTGATATTGCTGTTCTGCTTTATTAGGATAAGGTTTCATCATTTCTTCCACAAAAATAAAAGCTAGACACTAGTTAACTACTACTGATAAACACGTTTAAAATGTTCTTGTTTTTATAGATTATGGAATTAAAGCTGGAGCCTAAATGCTCCCTATCTTGGATATTTTTTAAAGCAAAATGTTCCTTGAACTGTTTATGTTAATATGAAACTTAAACTGTAAAAACTGTAAATCAGTTTCTTTCATGCACTAAGTATGGCAGAGTTTAGGGAATTTTAAAATATAGCATAAAGAGCTAACCTACTACAGATTTTATTTAAGTTGTGTAAGATCACATTTGGAGGAAAAAAGGAATGCAAGCTGAAGGAGGCAAAAGAAATACCAAACACAGTTTGGTAGGTGCCAAGTTGGATGTTAATCATTTTTTTTCAGTGTGCCCAGGTTTCTTCATATCTACATTTTGTCATTTAAATCTTTCTGAACTAAATTATAAAATAATACTTTTAGTATATTATATTCCTAAGCCCTTGAAGACAGAATTCTTCCTCATGTATCTTTTCTTATTATCTCATTATCTCATAATCAAAGGATTTCCTTAAATATTTACTTAGCATAGTATATTTTAGAAGTGTGGCAAGAAAGTCTGAGTAGAAAAAAAAAGCACTGAGTTCTAAATGCTATCACAAAGAAGGAGAATGTTAGAACTAGAGAAAATTGAATGGAAACATATTTATCCTACCATTCACATAATAGGAACTAAGACCCATCTCATCACTACTCAAAACCAATATGTTTTTTTATGGTTTCCTGAGTGTTTATTATAATGTAGAGGCAATGACATATAATACTGTCTTCTGCTCAGAAGATATTTTATTTTCTACATGTACAGCTTTTCACATGTCCTGTCTACTTTTAAGCAAGAATGTGGTTAGGGTGAATAGGTTATGCAATGAAGAACTTTGCTAAACCTATTACCAACAAACAACTTTGCCCAGTTTGCCTTTTAACAATAGTTTTGAAAGACTGTGTGTAGCGTGTGTGTGTGTGTGTGTGTGTGTGTGTGTGTGTGTGTGTGTGTATGTGTGTGTGTTGGTGAACCTTATTATGTGTGCACCTCTGTGTTAAGACCAGCAGTCAACATGAGTGTTGACTCATGGAACTTCCTGCCTTGTGTGTTATGACAGTCTCTCACTGGCTTGGAATTCTCCCTGTAAGGGTAAACCTCCTGGCCATCCTGCCCCAGAATCTTAGCTGTCTCGACATCCCCAGTGCTGGGATGAGCAACAGAAACCACCAAACCTTCCCTTTGGAGAGCAAACTCGTTCTTCAAGTTTACAGGCAAGCACTTCGGCCACTCAACTGCCTTCCCAACTCCTGAAACAAAGCCTGTAAAGAAGGAAAATTTATGATACAAAGAACACAGATCTCTAAGTTAATACTTGGAAAGCAGCCTCCAAAAATACCTAACATATCTGATTGTGACACAGGCGAAATTAGGCATGTTCCATGTACAGTGAGGCATGTTTCATGCTTACTTGTGACATTAAATTGTCTACTCCATTTTACATACTGCAGACCTTTTCTTGGTATGGTATTCCTCCAAATGGTTAGAATTCTCGCACACTTATTCCTATCTTTCTATTCCCTTGCTTTGAGAGTAAACAGCCATCCTTTGTTGCCATGGATTGTCACAGCACGGGTGTGTGGGTTCACGCGGATCCATGGAAAGAAGACACAGAGGCATCTTAAGAATGAATCTAGTCTTTCATGGCTGTGTGTGTGGGGGGGGTCCAGCCTCAA